ACTCGGGATTCATCAGGATTCCTTCATACAAGTTCAACAATCCGAGAAAAGATCTTCCCAGATCTTGAGAAGAAGTTCTTCGCAGAACTTTGAAACAAATATTCAGAGATCTTTAAGGAAGTACTTCCTAGGATTTTTTCCCACAACTTTACGAAAGTCCTTCCCAGAACTTAAGAGCAACTCATCCCAGAACGTGTGGACAATCCATCCCTTGAGGGAATCTCTTCTGAAAACATGAGCCATATTCTTCTCAAAACTTTAGGGAAGTTCTTTTCAGAGCTTCAGAAACCAAAACAGTACAAAGCTGTGACAGGATCTTGCAACTACTTGATTGTACTAAAAGAAGTCACATACAAGTAGCCTCAACCGTTTTGCACCAAGTGTGCTGCTATGGAAACATCTTCGCAGCACTTCAGAAAAGTTCTTCACAAAACTTCAGAAAATTTCTTCCCAAATTTTTTAGGATGCTCTTTGCAGAATTTAAGGTAGTTTCAACCCAGAACATGATGGAAGTTCTTTCCAGAACTTGAGGCAATTTCTTCCCAAACTTGAGAGTTGCTGTTTCCAGAACTTAAGGGAAGTTCGTCTTAGAACTCCAGGGAACTTCTTCCCAATACTTCAGGGATGAACTTTTCTGAAATTCTGGCAAGTTCATCCACAAACTCTAGATACGTTCTTCCATGAACATCGGAAAAGTTCTTTCCATAACTCCAGGGAAGAACTTCCCAGAACTCTAGGAAACTATATTTGGAAAATTCTTATGCTTCTAAAATCCCCGTAATTTAGGAGAAATTTCCCAATGAAGCAACAAGGATTTAAAAAGTGTTTCCGGAATGTCAACAGAGTTTCCAATAATCCTGAAAACTTCGATAGAGTTTCCTGAACCTCATCAGGCGCATCGCAACTTCATCGGCATTTACAGAAATTTTTTATACTTGAATAAATTTTTCGAAAAGTTTGAACGAATTTCTGGAAAGTTTTGAAACATATAGAGAATTTTTAAGAACTTCAGGTAAATTCTGCAAGCTTCAGGAAAGTTCTGCAAACTTGCTGTGACGTGACTTCAAGTTCTGTTTACAAAAGTGTATAGGCATTGTTCATATGTAACCCGAGAAGTATTTACATGCCAAGTGTCACTCACACTATGCCGTGCTCGTAATATGAACAGTGTGAATAGGATGTAAACCTATGATAAACTATGAAAATGATGGTGATGTGTGTGCGCTTGTAATCAGTTTATAGCTATTTTTGTCAGAATTTCACGCAAGAAATTTGCTGACTGGCGGCACTGGCGCATCAAGTGGTAGTGGAAAAAATAGCCGACCCAGTTAAATCATAATTCCAATGTTTTTTGGTGGAATTTATTAAAAAAGATATGAGTAAGGCTTAAATAAGTACGGTGGAAAGTGATTTGATGCAAAAGATTAGTGTAAGAAGTCTCAGAAAGGTCTAAAAGTGTAAAAAAAGAGTTGGCGCAGATTGTGAAAATAAAAATAAAAATAAAAAGGAAAATGGCGAGAAGCAGAAGGAACCGGATGGCTGAACGACGGTGCAATACGAGAAAAAAACAAACGGTTGCGTCCTCTGCGTAAGATGGCCGAAAGACGAAAAAGAAGGAATGGATGGTTTGTCCTTCAAAAAAAGCTAAGTACAATAGTTTTGTGTTGCGTTAAATGTAGAGGGTGGGTTTACTCGGGAATGGAATGCAGATTTTCCGGAAAAGCTGCAGCAATGTGGGTGACGTTTCCTCGAATTTGGGTGGAATTTTGCTCATTTGTATGTGGATACACTTTTTGCGCTTTTTGAGTGAACTGATATGAGCACACTGATAAAATTTCAAAGATTATTTTTATGTGTCCCACACATGAATTTTTGAAATGTGATCAACGAATTATATCTATTTGTCAAACGCATACTTAATATGTGTACACATAAAAGCCATGTGTAACCAAACAAACTATTATTTTGTCTAATAAATTTTATGTGTGCTTCTGGGTGGATTCTGTTTATGTGTGGTCACATAAAAAATCATGTGGAAATTCGTCAGTAAAAATGTGTGGAATTGTATTAGTGTAGCATTTTTTGTCTGAGTATAGAATGGTAGAGATAGGCGAGACAACAACCAATTGAAGCATTTGTTGTAATGCCATCTAGTGTCAATTTAAAAAAAAAGTATAGATGTAATGATAGTACACGACTAGAAAATGGTTCCCAGCGACCAGTTCACTTTTCCTTACTTTTGATAGTTTGTCTCCTTTTCTCCTTCTAATGTTGCCAAAAACAATGAAAATTAATGAGATAAGATTAAATTTGTTCGTTTGTGGTTGTGTATGAAAAAAACTGATTAAGGTTGTGTTGATTCTGCCATGGTTATTGTATTTGGTGGGCTTTTTCCAGTTATGTCGCTTTCGTTATTGCGGTGTAGCACCGGTGTAGTGTAAACAGGAATAAGCGCGAGTCTTTGACAGCTTAACATCATTAGTTTTTAAACAAAGGTGCATCCTATATCAACACCCTAAATTATTTCAGTGTACGGCAGTGTAGCACCGCAAAACGAAAACGAAATAAATTTCGTATAATTTGAGTGCATCACATGAACTTAAGTTTACTTTAATTGATTATAATTCAAATTGAAAAGACATAGAGGTTTTGGGCCTACGGGAGAAGAGGTAGTACAATTATTTTCACTCCCGCGAGTTTTCCTCTCAATCAATAGAAGAAAAAAAAAGATAAAACACAACATATTTCCTTCCTTTTAATTAGCTACGGGTGTGACAACGATGGCGAGTTCACTATGTTATATTTTCATTTTATTTCAGCAACCTTATCTTCCAGCAGATGATCCGGACAGCAATTTCAACATTAATAAAAAAAAACTACATATGCCAGCAACACTGACTGGGTGTATCCTATGGCTTACCTTCCCTACTAACATAATCCCTAAATTCCCGAGACATTTATGAGGGCTCGTAGAGTTCTCTGCATCTCTCTTAAGTAAATGTTGGACTAACATACCTTTCCTATCCCTACCAGTTGTAAGGACGTGGCCAGGACAATCCTTAACTGTTGGAGCGGGATATGTCTTTATCTGGGAGATAGTAATTACTTCCTACTTACTATCTGTCCAGTAATATGTAGATATCCGTCTTGCTCTTAATAGTTTTGAATTCGTACCACCTACGATATTGTGCAACTTGTTCGATGCTAATGCTAATGCTAATGCTAATTTCACGCAAGAAATTTGCTTTTGGCAACGATCAATTCTTGCACTATTCCTGTATTTTAAATGTATTTGTTAATTTTTTGAAGATAAACAATTTTGTCTCCATGATGTCAGAGTGAAAAGCTAGATGTTGGTGCCATCTATGCGGATGAGTTTCGAAATATCTGTTAATGTCAATAAATGGTCCTTATTAAATATATTGAAAAACTTCGCTTAAGACACCAAGTCACGATAATGCTAGATTGCATTCCTGGCCCATAGAGAATTCTGATTTTTGTATGTTAATTATTGATCAAGTGCAAGTTCAGTATATTTCACTTGACAAAGCTAATTGTAACTCATTTCATAGTGATTAAGTGACTACTACTACTAGATTTCAAAATGGAAGATTTGGGATTATGTGAAGATATTATAAGTTTTTTTTCACTTTAACACTCGTGAGTCTCTAGTGACTTGTCGGGTTCGGGTATGGTATGGGTATTCTTTGCATCTTATCCTAAGAAAATCAAGCCGAACAATGGATTAGGTCCCAAGTAACATTGATCGATTCTCTTCATCGACTCTCTCTTTCATTAATAAATTGGCTACAAAACCGTTTCTTGCTGTGTTTGCCGTATTAGATGCTAGATAATACCTTCTTTTATCGAACTATCATTTTTACTTAGGACCATTGATCGCCTAAAAATCATGATTTTAAGCATCAAATCCAACTTTTTGACAAATTTCTATTATGAGAAACAAATGTGCCTTCCACAAAGGCTATTGGAAAACAGATCGCACCTATAATTATAACATAAATAACACACTCTTTCGTTGGCAAACACTTACTATAGCCATATATCTATGGCTATGTCGCATTGGAGCTTTCACGCCTGTATCGCGCTGCATATCGCATATAAAAGATGTAGCAGAGTATAAAAAGCTTTTCATTGAGCTTTTTATTCGTATCGACTGTGTGCCAACACGCAAACAAACGTAGAGGAAACACGTGTTTCAAAGTATACCGGTAACTTAGCGAAACACGATATTTTTTTTCTCTCAGACATAGCGTCAGCATAATATGTACTGCCCTTTTCAGCATAGTTGTCCCATTCGTTAAAACAGAAAACTGAGAAACACGTTGTTGAAGATTTTTGTCTCCATGGCTCTTATGGATGGAACAGCATAGATTTGGTATTTTTTTGCCATATTTTCTGAAAAAAGTAGGAATCTTTTTGTGTCCATTGTAAAGTGATCGTATAAAGTAATCGATTCCAATGTATAACTCATTTTCGCCAAAAATAGGACTGTTATGCCGCACAGGCCAGTATAGCGAGATTAAGGAATGTAAACAACACTATAACTGCCGAAAATATTTTAACGAAGGCAACGCACAAGCTTCACTTTTCAATTGGCGTTGACGGCACCGTCGAAAAATTTGCTCTTCCAGCAAATATAGACAGGAATTTTCGGTGGAGTGAAAGGATAGTACAAAGTCCGCCATGTTTCACGCACAGTCTGACGTTTGCTTATGGATTTTCTCATAGGAGTAAAGAGCTACAAAGTCGCCGTCAACGCCAATAGAGTTTAGCTAATTCGTTTGTTATTCAGTTCCAACCTGGATTGGATATCAAGATTGGGTCTGTTTGTTTTCTGATCGTTTGTTTTTGAAACCTACCTCAGGTTGAGGTTCGCACTGACAAAAAGTTCGGTTTCGCACGAATACGCCATTACATTTGTGTACTACTAGAGTATGACAACAACAAAAACTCTTATTTTGTTTATAATCTACACTTACCTTCCTCATTTTCAATGTCAATCACAACCGTCTTAAGACTCTCGCTTTCATTTGGGTCGCCACCAACCTCGTCCATGGTTGGTGTCGTATTTCTTGAACTGCGTGCCGGTACGAACAAATCGCCATTCACTTTGCCACTTGTCTCCTGTTGCACGATTTCTGCATTTGCAATGCTGCTCACGGTACTGCCAATGCCAGAGCTTTTATCGTTGTCATCGGGTGAGGACGAACGTAGGCTCAATTTGGAGTTCAGTAATGGAATTCCTAGAGTAGAAGCCAAACTAGGTTCATGTTCGTCGACCATCGCTTCCGGCACCATTCCGAAAAGGTGCGTTTCGTCCAGTTCTAAGGGGTTTAGTTTTTGGGTAGAATCCATTTTGGGAATTCTTCTGCAGAAATGCGGTGTGGTGGAGCTCTGTAAGAGGATAATTAATGTAACAACCATTTCACTTAAGGCCCCCGTCTGGAAGTATTATTGATATTATTCCCTTGCTGGGATTTTTTAGAACATCTGGGAAAACCCGCAAAAATGAGCTAGAAAAATAAGCTAATCGAAAAATCGAAGCACACTACGCTGTAGCATAACTTTCTGGCAACATGATAGTTGGAAAATTTTTGGGAAAATCCAACCCACAAAAAAACTGGGTTGTTTTTCCGACATGAAGACCACCCAATTCCGGCCACGTGATTGCAAATGTGTAAACAACATGTTCTATCTTTCCCCTCTGATAGCTCGTGATCTTTATTCTAAAGTACCAGATAATTATATACTATAAGATTCGTAAGAATGTGAGGAATCTTTTGGTGTACTCCAAAGTACAATTTTCCGACTTTCCTCGCATCGTTTTTCCATTTTCATTTCATGCATACCATTTTCCCGTTGTACCGGTACATGGCGAACAAGGCATGGGAAAGAAAAAAAACTGTACTAAACACGAATGCGCGCGAGAAGCTTTCGGTTCACATGATTTTTGCGGACGGCTGACTGAAGCATGCGAATAGTGGTGTCGTATGTTTAGCAAAAAATAATTCAAGTTGTTGATAATGAAAAAGGTCATCAAGAAATAAAATGCCTTTCCCTACATCCTCCATTTCACCCTGAATGACAAAGTGTTCTCTGCAGGTCGATGAAACTAGCTAGGTTATTTGTGTTTTCTTTGTTTGGAGTAAACATATAAATATTGTTTGGGAAGCAATATAAGCAATAAGCAAAATATCCTCCCACCTTGATATTGACTATATAATCTACACAGCAGGTATTATTGATTTCCGTATCTAAGAATCACATTCAAAACTTCATATGGTATAATTGCCAATATCTCAAAAAGCTCCGCGATGCGGATAGAGTCCCTATTGACGGTGTGATTTGTTGTAAGATGTAGATCTCACCGAGCTGATTCAATTAAAAATTACGATATTACAGCCGATAATGACAAGACTTTGCTATGATGAGTTCTGAAACTTTGCATAACTTATATCAGCAGAAAAAAATGCATCAGTTAGTTACAACATAGGCAATTGCTTTATTCCAAATGCCAGTAACATTTATTGATAAAGTGAAAACATTTCTCAACTGCTGTAAAAAGGTAATGCTTTGTTCAGAGTTGGGCACATTTTAGTTAATCCACAAGGAACATTTTCGATAGCGATTATCGCTTCCGCTAATTTTCTAACTGATATAAAAAATCAGAGCAACCTGTTTTTTGAGACATTCATGATTATAATTTATAATTTTTACACTAAAAGACTCCTGAAATAGTGTTGTTTAGCTATTATCGAATTATACTGACGTATTATCTGTAATAGAAGTAATCGTAATAGTTTTTGGTTAGTTTGACAAACCTCGGCAACTTTATATAGATAGTGTAACAGTCAATTTCCGGCAGATATGAAAAACCACAATTACTTGCGACTACGATACATATCATTCTCATTAGATGTGATCATCCCTACTTTCAGAAGAAAGAAATATTTATTTGCTTCGCGAAGAACGTCGTCAGCTTAGCGTACACTACTGTTTATAAATGTGGGGTTCCCTAGATGTTTCACTATCTTGTATCTCTCATATCTAACATCAGCAAAAAGGTAATTTACAAAATTATTCTAGAAAGATGCAAAGAATATCAGGCGTAACATTTGATAACGGCACAAACACTTTTGTAAACAAAAGTTGTTTGTTTCAAAAGGTCCTATCTGCATTGATCTCTTTCGTCAATAACTCAGCTGCAAAACCTTTCCCTGTTGTTTTTGACGTTTTGGACGCTAGATAAGAACCTCTATTATCAAACTATGTGGTAGAATTAGCACAAAATCTGTTTGCATATCAGTGGTTATGAAAGGAGAAAGTCGATGAAAAAATCGATCAAAGCAGATAGGACCATTTTAAATGTTCATCGATAATAATCAGAAAGGGGAAAGTGTCCCCCAGCTGATGATGTTGTTGGATTACGTGGCCGTACTTCGGTTCACGTGTAAAGGGCCTTACAAACTTGTGTGTACAAAAATTTTTGTGCCGGCAGCCGCATCATATCATTTTATCCTTCATATCCAAATCAAGGTCAGATAGGCTAGGTGATGTAGAATTTAATTTTTCATTTATGTGTTCCCGAACTTATCCTTGGTAGTGTACGAACAGAAACAGTGCAAGACGTGTACTAAAACCGAATATGAGCAACAGTTGTTCGTATTTTCGATTTTCATAAACCGGACCGACACATTGATCAGTTTCAGTCTACAGCATGCTGTGCTCTTCTCTACACATGTCGGTTGGGAGTACGTAGACTTGGAAATATGATGGTCAGCATTCTTATGTTGAACCGGCCTTCCCCGATACTGCGTCTTGAAGGATGTTTCTTATGGCCATTTCTGGGATCAGAAAATATTTTTCCGGGTTTCCGAGAACGCCAAGTAACCAACTCCAGTGATATGTAAGGTAAATTACCCGTGACACAGACAAACAGACATAACACATTGAATATTTATCACTGTAAAACATCGTCGCTACAACATTACCGCCATCTGTTGAATACACTGTGGTGGGTATTTGAGTAGTGTGGTAACGTCAAACGCAAGACAATAGACTATGCGCGCCACAGGTGGCGGTACTACCAACTACGATACTTTTAAATTGACCGTTAAATGCTTGTTCGATGAACAACTTGCGAGGGTTATGTCTGTTTGTCTGTGCCCGTGATTTCAGTATCTACCTTTAGTGTTCAGCATTTTCGCGCTACCTCCCCGATACTTTTTTCCCTTGATTTGTTTTCCGTGCTGAGCACCAATGCTACCGACGCCAAGGAGGCAGCTCCCACACATGGACCCTACCCTATCGACACATCAACTCATAATCCGAGGACCAACGGCTTTACTTCCCTTCCGAAGGAAGGCGTGATCAGAGATGTTATGCCTCAGAACATCCCAGCGGCGCGGACTGGGATTGAACCCAGGCCTGCTGGGGTGAGAGGTAATCACGCTTACCACTACACCACCGGCACCGCTTTTTCCCCGATACTTGAAAAATTATTCCTGTGAACATTCCTTAGATTCGGTAATATTTTTAAATGCCAAGTGACCATCTTCATTGATATTTATGTTCAATTATCGGTGTTTTCAGTAAGAGGAAATTATCCTAAATGTGGGTTCAGCATTTTTATGGAGAACCGACCTTCCTAGATACTGAACCATGAAGTTCTTATGGCCATTCATGAGCTCCGGAAATATTTTTACATGTTTCTTGAAATGCCAATGGACTAAGTGCATTAACATTTAACTTCATATACTGGTGGTTTTAGTGAGAGAAAATTTACCTAAATGTGGTGATCAATATTTGTATGGAGAATTATTCTTTCCTTATAATGAACCTTGAAGGATATTTCCTGCGGCCATTCCTAAGATCCTGAAATATTTTCCCACACCGCTGTTTTCAGTAAGAGGAAATTATCCTAAATGTGGGTTCAACTTTTTCATGGAAAACCGACCTTCTCCGATACTAAACCATGAAATAGTTCCTACATGGCCATTCCTGAGATCCGGAAATATTTTTACAAGTTTCTTGAAATGCTAAGGGATCAACTTCATTGATATTTGACTTCAAATACCGGTGATTTCAGTGAGAGGAAATTTACCTAAATGTGGTGATCTATATTTGTATGCAGAATAGGTCTTCTCCTATACTGAACCTCGAAGAAAAATTCCTATGACCAGTCCTGGGATCCGCAAATATTTTTCCAAGATTCTTGGTCACCAATTGCAATGATATATAAGGTTAAATAACAGCTATTTCTACACAGGGGAATCAAATAAGTAGTGATCAATATTTTTGTGCATAGTGCACCTTGAAGTTCTATTTACTGTGGTCATTCCTGAGTGCTGGATTTTTCAAGGTTATTGAAATGCCAAGGGACCAAGTTCAATGACACTTGAAATCAAATACCACTGGTTTCAGTGAGAGGAAGTTAATCTGAATGTGTGTTCTGCATTTTCATGGAGGATAGTTCCTATGACTATTCCGGAGATCCGCAAATATTTTCAGGGAAAGCTGTACAATCATACTCAGTTATTCGATGCACAGGTGATAATCAGGACTGCAGTACAATGTTTGCATAGATGAATAACCACCGAACTGAACTAGGAATCGGACCCAGCCGCCTCCAGAATGGAACTATGCTAAAACGGACTGATCTAAAGAAGGCTCCGTAGTATTATCTCTATGAATACGCTAAACTCTACAATTCGGTAAATTCACGTGTATGTAAATTGCCTTCACAGTTAAAAAAAAAAAACGAAAATAACCGTTACTATGATGCACATAAATGGAGTGTCACATATCATACAAGTTTACATTATAGATCGTGTAAATTTATGAGACATGCATGAGACATGAAATATTCCACTTGTTCTACGCAACTGTCCATATTTGTAAACAACATTTCTTGCAAGTGGCTAGTTTACGTGAAATGGAAGTTTACATGCATGGATGTTTACATCACTAGTAAAATTCAGAATGTTTTTCTGTGTTTATTTGAATTCATATATCATTGAAGATTATCACGTTTCATTTCACAACACTCGACAATATATTTTCGGATCTCAGAAATGGCCTTGAAACTTTTTTTTCAAGGTCCAGTATCAGGGAAGGCCGGTTCTCCATGAAAATCTTGTTCTTATTGTTCGCATTTCAAGCTTATTGCGTGCTCTCAACTTAGATTTCTATATGCACTTCCACAGTTGAGAGCTTTCGAAGCCGGAACCATTTTTGCATTGTATAATTGAGTAGGAAGTACAATGATACTTTATGCTCAGGGTACTCGATATATTTTCCAACTTAAAGAAAAACTTAACCGGATCGAGAATCGAACCCAGTAACGTCCAGGCATGGTCTTGTTTTGGAGTTGTGCCTTTATCGACTGAGTTAAG